GAACAAGAGTCTTGAATTCAGTGACTAGTAATGAAAGAAAAAAAAACTGAGTAGATATTCTAATCGGTTAGGTGATTAATTGGTTTCGGGATAAAAGACTTTCAACTTCTTCTAAAAATATAATTAAACACACACTCATTTCTTTGGTGTCAGTTAAACTACGATTATTTGCTAAAACTGAGTGTATTAAGTGTTAACCAGACGTGTCAAGTGTGTCATTTAATTTTATTGGTTATTTTTATTATTTTTTAAATTTTTATTTGAATTAAATCTTATTTGCTTATGTTGTAGCTTTTTATTTATATAAATAATTTATCAATTAAACAGAAATATTTTTCATATTAATTGTTTCATGTAATACAAAAAAAATGACGAAATCCACTAAAAAAAAGAGGAAAATAAAATTTCATCTACTTTTATGTGTATATGAGATAATTTTATCTCTTATCACATGAAAAATATATTTTTCATAAAAACATATTAATAGATAATTGAAATAGCAATTTAACATCACTCCTGCAAACAGACTGTGCTCTTTTTCCTAAATATTTTTGGTTTTTTTTAAGTGAACTTGTTTATTCATGTAATATAAATAAAAAATAATTTCATTACTAAATTAAAGATACTGTCTATTTAAATTATGAATCTTAAAACGAGAATAAATAAATTAACCTCAAACCCGCGCCCGTTCCTGCAACACTACTTCATACCAAATTTTTACTCGAGTTAGGTAAGTTAAAGTATTGATACTAGCATATTCGAAATGATATTTTTTTTAAGAAGAGCTCTTATTATAAAAAAAGATTATTATAATGAATAAAAAAATGAAAATTAAAATAACTTATCCTAATAACAAATTATTTCGTCTTTTCTCTTCTAAAATCCTCAAAACACTTTTATATAATTACCAAACATATAAGAATATGTAAAAACATGTTAAGAGAAGAGATAATATATATATATATATATAGAAACCTATATATATATATATATATATATATATATATATATATATATATTTATGTGTATATTTTTTCTCCTTATGATTTTTTTGCAAAACACAATTGGTCTTTAATGAATTCAACCAGTGGGCAGCAGACACCAATCCCAACATCTCTCATGTGTGATTGGGTTAGATGGTACGCCATGAGCCATCTCCTTGCCACTCTCACCCTCATAACTCACACTCACTCCCCATCTCAATTTTATTTTTAGTTATATTAGTACATGACCCGTGCGATGCATGGAGAAAAAAAATTGGTCGGTTTGTCGAAAAAATATCGAGAAGCGATTGTATAGCATTATATTGAAAAAAACTATGTTTAATGTCATCACAAACATTTATTACATTAACTATATACATATAAATAATAATACACAAAATTAACATGTGTATAAATGCATATTTACGACTTCATATTTAATCTCAATGAGATTAGTTTATATGCTGGTTTATTTTCATATATGATAGCAGTCAGTGGCGGACCCAGGAAATTTTTTTTATGTGTGCACACTTAAGGCGGGGGTTGGGGGCAGCGCCCTCGAAGATTTGTTTTAAAGAAAATTTTAAATGTATTAAAAAAATATATAAACAAGAAAATAAAAGAAAACTTTAACTTAACATAAAAAAAATAATCAAGAGTCAACTAAGCTGTTACAATAGAACGATCACAAAAGCATTCTTCGATTCTTCATTCCTTGAAAATATTGCATTATATCTTCATCATCAATCTTATCAAATATATCACGTTCAACATAAGTTAGCATGCATACGTTAAACCAATCATCACTTATCCGATTGCGCAACTTATCCTTAACAAAAGTCATTGCAGAAAAAACTCGCTCAACATTAGCAGTTGCTACTGATAGAACGAGTGTTGCGATGATGTGTGCTATGCACGCGTCTATTGTCGGTGATCCTAGCGATTTTATGATTCAAAATCACCCACAGCCTTTGAAAAAAAATCCTCAAAATTTTGTGTCTGCACAGTCAACAAAGTCGGTCCGCAACTGACAACAGTAAATCCAAAGACCAGCAACACCGGAAGGATTTGTTAGACAGTAAAAAAAAGTGTTGGCGTGAGGTGTCGTTGGCTATCGTTGGTGCATCATAGCACCAGAATTATCCATATCATCTGGAACAGAGAAAAATAATTTTGCGTACACGCGTTTCGTGGCTTAGTGACCCAATGCAAAACATAGTTCGACATGACAGAAAAAGATATTCATAAAATCATGCGATGCACGGAGAAAAAAAATCGGTCGTTATGTCGAAAAAAAATATCAAGAAGCGATTGTATAGCATTATACTCGAAAAAAGCTACGTTTAATGTGATCACAAACGTTTATTAGATTAAATGCATTCATATAAATAATAATACGCAAAATTAACATGTGTATAAATGCATATTTAAGACTTCATATTTAATCTCAATAAGATTAGTTTGTATGCTGGTTTATTTTCATATATGACAGCAGTAAATCCAAAGACCAGCAACACCAGAAGGATTTGTTAGACAGTAAAAAAAAAGTGTTGGCGTGAGGTGTTGTTGGCTATCATTGGTGCATCATAGCACCAGAAATTATCTATATCATCTGGAACAGACGAAAATAATTTTGCGTATACAATCGATTCGTGGCTTAGTGAATCAATACAAAACATAGTTCTACATGACAGAAAAAGATATTCATAAAATCATGCGATGCAAGGAGAAAAAAAAATTTAGTACAATTTCATCGAGAATAAAATACCGAGAAGCAATTTTATAGCATTATACTCGAAAAAAACTACGTTTAATGTCATCACAAATGTTTATCAGATTAACTGCATACATATAAATAATAATACACAAAATTAACATATGTATAAATGCATATTTAAGATTTCATATTTAATCTCAATAAGATTAGTTTATATGCTGCTTTATTTTCATATATGACAGCAGTAAATCCAAAGACCAGCCACCAGAAGGATTTGTTAGACAGTAAAAAAAAAGTGTTGGGTGGAGGTGTTGTCGGCTATCTTTGGTTCATGATAGCACCAGAAATTATCCATATCATCTGGAACAGACAAAAATAATTTTGCTTACACGTGTTTTGTGGCTTCGTGACCCAATACAAAGCATAGTTTGACATGACAAAAAAATATATTCATAAAATCATTGTTCACTGAACATAAACAGTAGGATAATGGAAAAAAAGTGCAGAACATTCTTGGAAAAACTCAGTCATTAACATGTATAAAACTAACCACTTGAAATCGTCATTATTGAAAACTGTCTCATTTCAGAATCTGCATCACAACCTGCACATGTATTCCAACTACCAAGCTCATTTCCATTATAGTCCATTGCTGACGGTCCATATGAATGCTTCTCGAAAGTGTATTTCTTAGAATGGCACCAAGAAAACTCTTGGATTAGTATCCTTTCCTTACGCACCACATACGCGGGATGAAACACTTGACCTGGTGTCTGCATATACTTAATACGGTTATCCCTTTCAAAGAAAAAAAAACATATCAAATCCCCAATTACGGTGTTCTTCATCAGTTGAATTCATCAAAAGGATGCAATATACATACTTGGCTTCATTGTGACCGTTGCTCGCAGAAATTTTAAGTTTCTGCATAGCCTTGTTATTCATGGATGAACTTGAATATTTTCAAAAATATTGTATCATCCCTTCCCGTTACAAAATTGTTGGGTTTCCACTCTCCCTACATCGTTTCAAGAACATCAATTGCCTCTTCTTATTAAACCGTCTAAGTGGACACAATTCAAAATCGTAGAAGGTTGATCGATCTTCATCCAGAGAATCATCTTCCACGACATGCCAATACGATTTTTGTTCTGAAATCCATTCAATTGACCACAATGCAAATTTATCCAGAGAAGCATGTTTATAAACCAAATCATCCTTTGCAACACGGAGGAAGGCATTGTAACTCATTTTGACATTGCACACGTCTTGAATAGAATGAGAGGCTACCTTTTCGAAGATGCAAAGTAACAATTCCTTTGGAAGAGTGTTGATATCAGCCATTGATTTATTCTCAAGGGTTTAGGCTTTACATTCATCAATGTGCGTTCTTAAAATTTTGTTGTTAGAAATAGAGCACTCAACTGTAGAATATGTAGGGACTAATGAACTTTACAGTCATCATACGAATGACTATCGTATGAACAAAGGCTTCTCTTTGAGTTCCCATTTATCGTTACAAAAAAATGCAGTTTCCAAGAACTCATGATTGATGGTGAATAATCAACTACTGTTATTCAATTAATGAACTACTGTTATTTAAAAAACAATTCTCAGACACTTTTGATGATCTAAGCTTAATCCCTTGATGATCTTCGTAATTGGGAAACCCAAGAGTTATTTTTTAGATTATTGGGAAACCCAAGAGTTATTTATTCACCGATTAATGAACCTTGTCGACAACCAATGTGTTTCATTCACTGTCTCAAGAACCCCAATTGCCATGAAGTTAATCATTATTAATAGGTTATTCATTTCCAATGAAAAGGGCACATGTTTTCGTTCTCTTTCAGGTTTTTTTGTTTACTTTAATACCAACATGCCTCTGTCCTGTTTTGACTTTAGTATCTTTGAACAAATGCAAAAATTGTATTTAAAATTAAACTGAAATTGTACTACACAGCTGTTTTTAATATTTGTCTATCAAATTGGTCGACAAATATATTTAGATATGTTGTGAGAACTGCTGTTAAAATACCAAGGGCAAATAATTAGCATAAGTAGGATCTGCAGTGATGTTAATTATAGCGTTGGAATAAGCTAAACAAAAAAACAACGGCAGCTCTTGTTATGATTATCAAAAATAACAAACACTACAAAGATTCATGACAAAACACTACTTAACAGCACTCTAAGAATAAAAAAAATAGATATCCATTACAAACAAAAAACGTAAAAACATAGTAAACATATTGAAAACCATAACCATATTACAATAATCATTCCCCTAAACAAACTCGCTAGATATTACAAAATTCTTTCAGTTCAGCATCGGCATGACAATACTCACATGTAATCTCACGATCGTCCAAGTTGTTAACAACATTTAATGCTTTGCATATGGTGGAATTGCAAAAAGAAAAGTCATGAATTGGAACCACTTTTCTTCGCACCCACATACCTCGCAGAAAGGATCTCACCCTCTGCTTGCAATCATCTAAATCGATGGTCATTTTCAGTGAACAAAACATCTCAAGTCCATGATTTCGTTTCTCCTTATCTTCACTAACCATCAACAGCGTGCAATACACGTACTTGGCATCAATGTGATCCGTTAGTGCAGCATTTTTCAAATTTTGAAGAGCAAGATTTTCCCTGAAAGAACAACAATTTTGTTGGAAAAATATTACCATTCCGTCACGGTACAAAAGTTCTGGGTTGCCACTTTTCCTGCAACGTCTCAAGAACAATGCTTGTCGGTACATGCTATAGATTTCTTCTGGCGAATATACAAAGTTGTAAAGTGTTCCAATATATTGATCTTCGTGTCCGTTGTCACATCTATTGTCCACACGATGAGAAAACGGCTTTTCCTTGTTAACCAAATTCACATGCACACATGCAAACTTCTCTAAGGAGGATTTTTTATATACAGAGTCATGCTCTGCAAGATGGAGTAATTCCTTGCAAGTTAACTTGACGTTTGATATGTCTTTGATCGAATGGGACGCTACCCTACCCAAAATCTCCAATCCTAAATCAGATGGAAGTGTTGTGAGCGACGCATGTCCTTGTTTTTCAAATCTTGCACGCTTTGCAGATGATGATTCAGCCATTCTTCGAAAGGTTGGACAAAAAAACTTGAATAAATTATATTCTTCGAAAGGAATAACGAAAAAGGAACTGTTTTAGGAACAAATGCTTATGATGCAGGTTATATACTGAGTTCAAACCATCGATTAAATTACACAATACTCATGCAACGATTGGGAAGTCATCCGTTCAACAATCCAACGGGGTTGGTTTATTTTTGGGATTGAATATGCATAAAGTGAAAATACACTTATTAATTCGTTGGCATTTAATGTACCATTTAACTGTTTATAAAATATGTTTGTTAATTCTTAACAATTGAAAATAACAAAACGTTTAATTTCAAGTTTCTTTTCAAAATCCAGTGCAATAACTTGGGTTGTGATATTCCAAACAGAGTTTATTATACTCACTACTGTAGGTGAACTGAGGTTCTAATAGACTACTTTGACAATGATACTAACCATTCAAGACAGATGATTATCAGATTGTCAAAAGATATATGTATTGATTTCAGAACATTTATCCATATTAAAAATAAATTTTACTTCATGGTCCCTGAACTTCTGAATTGTTTCTAGAAAACAAGACTAAGTGCACGTTTGGACGGGCTTGTATTCTTAAAAAAGTTTTTTTTTTATAAATAAAAGTCTTTTTGAGAATTTTTAGATGTTTGAATAACAATTGTTTAGAAAAACAAAAGTTAAAATGCTGCTTTTTTTGTAGCCAGTAGTTGATTGCTTTTGAAAAAAGCAGAAATTTAAAGATAATATAATTTTTTTTTTGGAAAAAAGATAATATAAATTTTTAAAATACAATTTTAACATCATCTTATCATATCTATTTTATCTCTCCTTATCCCACAATCATGCTATTTTATCTCTCATTTATTGTAATTTTATATATAAAAGTGCTTTTTTATTTTAACATCCAAATAACTTTTTTTATGTAAAAGTGATTTTCATATCATACATCCAAACGTAAAATAATTTTATCTTTTAGAAAAGTTCTTTTAAAATAAGCAACGCATAAAAAGTCATTTTTTTAAAAGCTCGTCCAAACGAACCTTAAATTAATGGAAGACAGTACATTTTTTTTTTTTTTTCCACGTAAAGGACTAAAAAGACAGTATATTATCACATTGATGTCATACCTGATTAGCTTCCTGTCATTTTCCTTATTGGACCGCACTGCTTGCAAGGTATTATCCTGATAAATGAATAGTAGTGTTAGTGACTAGATGTACAAAAAACTTGGAAAAAAATGATGAATTCTGAAACCAGTTTTACTAGCACGCAATCAGGTATTACTAATGTTTGGGTGTTTAACAATTTGATGGGACGAGAAAGAAACTCCAGGAAATAGGTTTCCTCTCTATTCCCCTCAAAGGCCCAGTTTTTGCTCCCGAATTCGGGTGGAGTGAGTGAAACCAAAATATTATAAATGTATAAATATAATATACCAAATATAAGTTTTTTTGAAAATTAATAAATCAATTTGACGGCTTAGCTCAATGAATGGTACTGAAGGTGAAAATTGCCTGATTGCGCATTGAGCTCCAGAAATTGCTTGCTCGGCTCTTTACTCCTCATCTTTGGTCGACAAGCATTCGATGATTTCATGATAATTGCTTGAGATATTCTACTTCTTGACCTGACGTGTTAGGTTGCATGTGCATATTATTACTTAGGCATTTGATTTATGGCTTGGTTTCCTTTTGGATTGATGATAAGATCAGTGTTTGGGTATTTGAGATAATTTATGAATTGAAATATCATAGCTACTTGATATATAACATTACAAAGACAGGGCTTTTTACTTCATCAGGATGTTAGAAGATTTATCGGTCATCACGTGATGTAACAAGCTACCCTCCGAACAATTAAGTTTTCGTAACTTATGATCATTTTGCTTTTGCATATAAATTGAATATAAGGGGATTCAGAATGAACTCTCTCGTATGGAACTCATCATTGACATGGAATTGTTTATGAGAAATCTTTTGTCTCGACTAAATTAAAATTTAGTTGAGGATTTTTAGATCTTTATTACTTGTTTGTTGAAGGTTTGGTTTGTTAAAATATAAGTGACAAAAATAACATAAGAACTACTAAAAGGACAATTTGGAAGTTGAAAATGGGTAGTCTTGATGGTTCATAGGTTCATTGAAGTTGCTATATTATTGAGTCCCCAAAGATGACCTTGGAAGCAGGCTTTCACAACAAGAATGGCAAGAGATTATTTTTCTGTTCGAATGAGTTACATTGATAATGGTTGGATTCATGAAGGATTTCCTCGTGACTAAATCTAAGGTATTCCACAATTTTATGCAGATAATGAAAGTTTTCTGATCATGAACTGACAAATGACGAGTTTGACTATTCAATCTACAAATGGCCACATATGTTGTGTCAAGAATGACGAATCATATTGTTATGCAGCTGCTCATCGGATGGTTGAGCACCAAGTCAATCCTGCCCAAGAAGTTCCAGAATGCTTGTTCCGGCCTCACAAGTTACCCGGCCTGCCTAGGGTTCATTGTGTGTTTCAAGCAATGGGACATGGCAAGATTTCCTTGAGTACAAGACTTCCCGGACCCTTCAACAGGACAAGTGAATTTTTTTTTCTTTTGGGGCTGGGGTGGGGGGAAGGGGGTCTGGAATATTGTTAGTGTTAAATAACCCATTCAACTCAAAAGCTTAAGCTTTTGGATAAGGCTATATTAATAGTTTTATATATCTCAACAGTTAAGCACTCCTATGTGAGTAAGTGAGGAAGAGAAATTTGAGCCATAACAACAAACTTGGTATGGGAAGAAATGTAATGAAGTTAGAGGCTATGTGCGAAATAAGAGATGACCATAGAAGTAGGCAATTACTGAGTGAGGACTGGAGAAAGTAACAGGTCTCTCGAATGACCAATTGTATCTTTTATTTTTCTGTTATAGGTATTGTAGAAGTCTACCTCTGTTTAAGGAGCTGATTTCCCTGTTTTCTTAAATAAATCTAATTTCCTAACAAAAACCCAAATAGCGACAGGGAGAAAAGGAGCAAGAGGAAGAAACCGTCATCCTCCATTTACAAACATAAAAAGACTACCATACTACTTATTTTTTTTGTACATATCATACTACTATTTACAATAAGCATCAATATTGTTAGAATACAAATTCAATCTTGCCACTAAGAATAGTTTTTCCCTAAATTATATTGGGAGATTAATTAGTAAGCGTACAGTGGACGAAGTCAATTTTATTGCAATTAGTAAGCGTGATTTATCTACTGGTGCCACAAACAGCTTCTTCTTTTTTCATTAAATTTTGATGTGGTTTTATGGTATCAACAAAAAAAAAAAAAAAGGTGTACATTTTTTTTTTTGGGTAGTATCATATGGTTTTATGATATTAATTATACATTGTCACCTTGTTGATATTATATATGTTGGTACTTTGTTGATATAATATTATGAAGAATTATTTACAATTCCTCCCTCTTAATTATTATGGTTCATCTGTGTATTCAATATGTGTTTAAGAAATTAGAGCTGAATGAGAAAAGTTTTATCAAATAACTTTTTATTTATATTGAGAGTTGAGCTAGTTAATTAGATATATACATCAAATTTTAGAAATTTGTAGAATAATGCATATGATATTTGTGTGTTTATATTTAGACAGATTTTTTATTATCAATATTTGATTTGATATTTTGATGGATAGATGTATATTGAACATTACATTATATTTCATTATTTTTTCTGAATATGTATTTTGAAGAAAAAATATGATGAACAAAATTAATTTGTTATATTTTGCATCAAGTGATGATGTGACTTGAATGCAGTTATGATGTAGTGTTGATTGCTCTCAGCTTCTAATGCTTACTCTAATATTTTATTTATTGAGGTGCATGCTTCCGCTTGAATTGTTTAAATGCAAAATTTATTTAGAAATAATATTATTTTAAATTCATTATCAGTAAAGATGTTGCACATTCTTGTGGATTAGATCATGGTTTGGGCATGTGAATGTTATTATGTTTAAACATATTCCTGTACAACAATTTTTATGAATTACTATAGGGATTACAACCAAAGTGGGATTGCTTATATTGATTATTTATGAACATTTCTTTGTAAAAATTAAGGAATGATTTTGGTTATTTCATGCAATTTCCTGCCCAAAGGGGGTAATTGTGTGTTATAACTGTAAATTTATTTGGGATGATGTTAATGGAGGTGTGTTGGTCTAGGTGATCTGTCTGCCCAAAGGGGACACATCTCTGAAGTCAGTGTATGCTCATTGAGAAATTTTTTCTTGAGGTTATAGATGAAGTTATTGGAGGCTCATTGGTCTAGGAATCTATCTGCCCAAAGGGGATAGATTTTCAAACCCAGTGTTGTGCTCATTGATTAACTCATCTGAGGTTCTGACCTTGGTTTATACCTTGGTTGGTGCATTCTGCCCAAAGGGAAATGTACTATTATGTTGGCCTTGTTATGACAACCTGTTGTACTAAATGATTAACTTATCCAGAGCAACTTTTTCTTGAGGTTATATATGAAGTTATTGGAGGCTCATTGGTCTAGGAATTTATCTGCCCAAAAGGGATAGATTTTCAAACTCAGTGTTGTGCTCATTGATTAACTCATCTGAGGTTCTGGCCTTGGTTTAACCTTGGTTAGTGCATTCTGCCCAAATGAGAATGTACTATTATGTTCGACTCATTATAATATTTTGGTTAAATTGAATGTGTATATTATCCTTTAGTTAATTCTAATGTATACATGTTTTTGCCTTAATGAATTTATATGTTAGTTCCTTTAAATAGATTTGAAAACATGTTTGATTCATTTTGAAATTAATATTTTGGAATATTTATTTTAAATTTTTTATATACATAGATATTTATTTGGAATTATTTGCTCTCGTTCATACTTAATTTTATCAGCTCTTATTCATGTTTGATTCTGTGAAAAATATTTATGATTTTTTTTTAATTTTGATTAATGAAAATTATTATAGATTATGGTGATTATAATGTTAATATTTACTCTCCCAATTTTAGCGTAGATTTTATGTACTTTGTCAATTAAGTTTGATTAGTAAGCTAAGATATATAATTGTTGATATTGAGAATTGAAATTTGTGACAGAAATTGCAGTTTATTAAATGCAATATGAATTTGGAAAATATATGCTATAAGATTTTTCATATTATTTAGGTATAATTGTTGAGAATGTTATTTGTGAATCGTCAGAATTCTTTGTTAAATACAAATTATTGTTTGCAATTATCTGCCCAAATGAAGTTATTGTATATATGAATTAATTTTGAAATTTGTATTGAGTTAAAATTTCAAATAATGTGAAATAATTATGTATTATGTACTCTGTCTAAAGGAGAGTTTATAATAAGCTAATTATTTCGTTAAAATACTTCACTGCACATAATTAATATAATTGTATTTATGTAATAAATATACTTTTGATATGAACGATAAGAATGTCATAATCGAATTGTTGATTGGATTGAATTGTGAATAATGGAGATGAGATCTGTATTTTTATTTTATTTTATTTTTTTATGAATTTTGATCTTGATAGGGCATTGTGTTTTAGCCTATAATTAATGTGGAGAACATACTTGATGTGTTTTTTAGTGGGAGAGATATGATTAATTTTGTATGATCTTGAAGTTATTGTCGAGTCAGTGGGAGATAATTGCTTAGTTTTTAATGTCAAGATATGAGTTTATTTTGAAATGAATTTTCTATAAGGCCTCTTCGAGAATGATTTTGAATTCTATATCCTTTTTAAATCAATATGGATTTTATTTTACATTAATGGTGATTTGATGAGGCAGTGACTTTTTCGAGCTATTAATGGTGATTTGCTGAGTCAGTGGGAGAAAAATTCCTTTTCTTGTATTGTATGTAAATCACTTAGTTCTTCAGAATATTGACTGATTCTATAAGAATTTAGGCCAATGATAAATACATGTGAAGAATATGGGCATTGTGAATTCCTTGGTTTAGTTGATTAGTGGGAGTTTGAATCATTTATTATTATTTTTTCATGTTGAACAATTTATTTTAGATATAATTGAGGTTTATTTAAGAGATAAATTTTATTTTGCACAATTGATAAGGATTTGAGATTTATTGTTGCATATATTGAACATGTGTATTTATATTTATCAATTGTGATATATATTGGAACTCAGTGTCGTTGGGACCACCATGCCTGTGGTTGACACTATATTGGAGTTTGAGGCATGATAATAATATTTTGGAACTCAGTGTCGTTGGGACCACCATGCCTGTGGTTGACACTATATTGGAGTTTGAGGCATGATAATAATATTTTGGAACTCAGTGTCATTGGAACCATCATGTCTGTGGTTGACACTAAATGGGAGTTTGAGACTTAATGGTGTTGTTAGGACTACAGGGCCCGTAGTCGACACCATATTTGATTATATGATGGTTTTTTGATAAACCATGGAATTTCTATGGCTTTAAGGCATTTGAGAGAAATTTGAGGACTGACAAAGAAAATAGTAGTTTGGCTGTTGTTGGATCATATTGGCATGCTATTTTCTTGCTACACTCCACACTAATGACTAGTCGACGGAGTCAAGTAACATTTGTGACCATGGAAGGTCTTATATCGGTAAGGGTATAATCACCGCCTGATTCAATGTTATTTGATTTTAGTTGGATGGAGTCATATTCAGATATCGCACCTTGGATCATGTGTTTTCTTAAAATGTGGCCACATTATAAGAATTAGTCCTTAGCCCGAGAGTCGTTTTCAAATAACTTGTTTTTCTTTTCTCTTTTAAATTAAAATTTTACAATTGATTTTGCCCAAGTGGGAGAATGTTAGAAATTTCTATAATAATTGTGGGCTTCAATCAATTGTAGTTTTTCTTGTTTTAATAAAAACGGGCTAAGTCATGATCCATATGGGGGTGCAGTATAACGCCCATTTAATTGAGTGATCCTTTTGTTTGGACTTGGATATCTGTAAATTGATTAGTGTGGGTAATAGTGTAGGCCTAACCCATAGGCCCATGATGGGAAGGAGACTAGGATTAATAAATTGGCTAGGTCCCCTCTGCATTCACAACGTGTTAGAAAACCGTTACTCCACAACTCGCCCCATCGACGGTTGTGATCAGGGACTGGTGTGAAATGCAGAGGAAGATCCTAGTCTTTCCATTGCAGAAGCATTAGAGGAAACAATAAGCTTCAAGAAATCAAGAATCAAGTAAGCGTAAATATTTTGGTGTTCTAAAATCATATAATCCTATTTGAAATTTTCTTTCATGCCGAAGCACTAAATTATAAGAAAAGTATTACAGAGAGACGAAAGTCCAGAGCATTTTTTGTACTCCAGCAAATTTTTTGAATACACTTCAAAGTTGTGTTTCATTTCCTGTGTTCATCTTCATATATTTTTTCTTTATTTTCTCTAAATTTCCAACAAGTGGTATCAGAGCCACGGTCGATCAAAGATGGCGGAGATGATGCAATCACATATTCCAAAGTTGTCAAAGAGTAATTATGGAAATTGGAGCATTCAGATGAAGACGTTGTTAGGTTCCCAAGACATATGGGACCTTGTTGAGGATGGATACATGGAGCCCGCCAATGCAGCTGCAGAAGCAGTTTTATCAGATGCTCAGAGAAAGATGCTTAAAGATTCACGTAAGAAGGACAAAAAGGCTCTTTTCTTAATTTTTCAAGGTGTTGAGGAATCAGCCTTTGAGAAAATATCATATGCAAAATCATCCAAGGAAGCATGGGAGATTTTACAGAAGTCTTGCTAGGGAGTTGACAAAGCTAAAAAGGTACGACTCCAATCACTAAGAGTTGAGTTTGAAAACTTAAAAATGCAGAATGCAGAGCCAGTTACAGATTATTCCTCACGAGTGCAAAAGGTGGCAAAAGAGATGAAAATAAATGGAGAGACTTTAGATGATGTCAGAGTAATGGAGAAAATTCTACGATCACTATCAAGAAAGTTCGATTATATTGTCACTGCCATTAAAGAAGTCAAAGACTTGTCAGTTATATCTATTGATGAGCTTGTGGGTTCTCTTCAAGCTCACGAGCAAAGAATGAATCTGAATGAAGGTTCTAGCAAATTGGAGCAAGCTTTGCAAAGCAAGTTATCCCTTGATGTAAATCAAGCCAGTAGCAGTAGCTATGGACGTGGCAGAGGAAATCATGGTGGATATAGAGGTGGTTTCAACACCCGAGGTGGATTCAACACTCGAGGCGGTCGTGGCATACGCGGTGGATATAGTCAAACAAATAGAAGATTTCAGACTGATGCTGTAGCATATGGACGTGATCAAGGAGGATATAATAATCGTGGTCGAGGTCGTGGTTTCGTGACCCGAGGAGGAGGAAGATTTCAACAAAGAGGTGATAAATCTCACTTGCAGTGTTATAATTGCAACAGATATGGTCATCTCAGCTATGAGTGTAGAGATGCTGCTAGAGTTGCGGAGAGAAGTCATTATACAACAACTGAAGAGAAAGATGATGAACCGACCATGTTGTTCACTTACAAAGGCGAGGAAGATAGTGGGAAAGATGTTTGGTACCTTGATACTGGAGCTAGTAATCAATGTGTGGCAAAAAAGAGTTATTCACAGAGCTGAATGAGGAAGTCCAAGGAGAAGTTACGTTTGGAGATCTATCAAAGATTCCAGTTAAAGGCAAAGGTGAGATTATGATATTCACAAAGAATGGAGATAAAAAATACATTTCGGATGTCTATTATATACCTTCTTTGAAAAGCAATCTCCTCAGTCTTGGTCAGCTTTTAGAAAAAGGATATGATATTCATTTGAAGAATAATTCTCTCATTATGAGAAATCAGAAAGGAGAATTGATTGCAAAAGTTGATATGACAAGAAATCGTCTATTCAAGCTAAACATCCAGACAAGTGCAAAAAAGTGCATGAAGACTATCATAGAAGATAGTTCGTGGTTATGGCATCTTAGATTTGGTCATCTTGGATTCACTGGCCTGAAGCTGCTATCAAAAGCAAAGATGGTAAATGGATTACCAATGATAAATCAACCTGATCAGCTGTGTGAAGGATGCATGAGAGGAAAGCAACATAGACAAAGCTTTGAAGTTGGCAAATCATGGAGAGCAAAAAGACCACTGCAGCTAGTTCACTCAGATATAGCTGGTCCATTTGATATTCCATCTCTTGGAGGAAACAGGTATTATATTACTTTTATTGATGATTTCAGTAGAAAAGCTTGGGTATATATTCTTAAAGAAAAAGCAAAAGCTCTTGACAAATTCAAAGAATTCAAAGCAATGACAGAAAAGCAAAGTGGTCAGTATCTGAAGACACTCAGAACAGATAGAGGGGGTGAATACACTTCCAAATTATTTGAAGAATTTTGTAGGCAACATGGAATAATTCATCAATTGACAGCAGCCTACACACCACAACAGAATGGTATAGCAGAAAGAAAGAATCGTACAATTCTTGATATGACAAGGAGCATGCTCAAAGAAAAGCATCTGCCAAGAACACTCTGGGCTGAAGTTGTCCAATGTGCTGCCTATCTATTGAATCGATGTCCAACAAAGAGTGTCAAGTTCAAAACACCAAATGAAGCATGGAGTGGTAGAAAGCTAGAGGTAAGCTATCTAATAATTTTTGGTTGTGTAGCATACGCCCATATTCCAGATCAGAAGAGAAAGAAGTTAGATGATAAAGGAGAAAAGTGTATCTTTACTGGCTACGAGCATAGGAGTAAAGCTTACAGATTATACAATCCCCTGACAAAAAAGGTAATCATCTCAAGAGATGTGGAGTTTGACGAAACAGATTACTGGAAATGGAATGATGAAGAAAAAAGAGTAGAAGGCTTATTTTTTAAAGATGATGATAATTCAACAGAGCAAACAGTTAAAGCAGGCAATGATCAGACACCTCCACCAAGTCCTAACCCAATAACTCCTGCATCTACGCCCTCAACCTCAGGAAGCAGTAGCAACAATTCAGGGGGAGCAACAGCAAAGATGAGAAGCTTAAGTGATATCTATGATGCTACAGATCCGGTACAAACTACCCATGATTATTCATTATTTTGTTTAATAGCTGAATGTGATCCAGTGACATATGAGGAAGCTGTAGAAGATGAAAGTGGAAGAAATCCATGAATGATGAAATTGCTGCAATCAAAAGAAATGACACGTGGGAGCACAACTATGCCTAAGAAACATAAGCCCATCAGAGTAAAGTGGGTGTACAAGACAAAGACTAATAAAGAGGGAAAAATGGAGAAATACAAGGCAAGATTGGTAGCTAAAGGCTACAAGCAGAAATATGGAATATATTATGATGAGGTGTTTGCACCAGTTGCAAGGATTGACACTATCACACTTCTTACAGCAGTAGTAGCATAAAAGCAATGGAAGATATACTAGATGGATGTGAAATCAGCATTTCTCAATGGTTACCTGGAAGAAGAAGTCTATATTGAACAACCACCGGGTTATTTTAAAAAAGGAGAAAAAGATAAAGTCTATCGGTTGAATAAGGCACTATATGGATTGAAACAAGCTCCAAGAGCTTGGAACACGAGGATAAATGAATACTTTCATAAGAATGGATTTGTGAAGAGTCCGTACGAACATGCTTTGTATACTAAGAAGAACGAAGATGGGGATATGATGATCGTGTGTCTTTATGTGGATGATATAATCTTCATAGGGAATAATCCAGGTATGTTTGTTGAATTTAAGAAAGCTATGACTAAAGAATTTGAAATGACAGATATTGGAGAAATGTCTTATTTTCTTGGAGTTGAAGTAAAACAAACAAAAGAAGGAATTTATATGTTACAAAAGAAGTATGCAGAAGAAATACTGAGTAGATTCAGAATGAAAGATTGCAATCCTATTTCAACACCAATAGAAGCAGGAACGAAGTTGAAAGCTGACTCAGATAGAGAACCAGTAAACCCAACACTATTCAAAAGTCTGGTCGGAAGCTTGAGGTATTTGACTTTCACTCGACCAGATATCATGTTTGCAGTTGGTCTAATAAGCAGATATATGGAGCATCCAAAGCAGGATCATTTCAGTGCAGCAAAGAGAATTTTAAGATATATCAAAGGAACCATCAATCATGGATTATTCTATACACATTACCAAGATTCAAGGTTAATTGGCTACGCAGATAGTGATTATGGTGGAGATGTAGATGATCGAAAAAGAACTCCAGGATATGCTTTTCATATTGGCTCAATAATATTTTCATGGTCATCAAAGAAACAACAGACAGTTGCTCTATCATCATGCGAAGCTGAATACATAGCTGCAACAGCGTGTACGTGTCAAGCTATTTGGTTAAAGAATATTTTGAATGAATTTCATTATGAGCAAGAAGGTCCAATTACTATAGGCGTAGATAACAAGTCTGCTATATCACTTGCAAAGAATCCAGTTTCCCACAGCCGAAGCAAGCATATTGACACGAAATATCATTTTATTCGAGAGCAAGTTAAAAACTAAGTTGTGGAATTAGTCTACTGCAGAACTAAAGAACAATTGTCAGATATTTTTACAAAGCCATTGAAGACGGATGTATTCAACAAGTTCAAACATATGATTGGTATGCAAAATCGAATTTGAAGGGGAGTGTTAGAATACAAATTCAATCTTGCCACTAATTTCTTCCACCGCTTGCTAGAAGAATCAAGAGCTGTATCTCAACTTACACCTAGCATTCATTTCCACGTGTATTATTTGTTGGAATGATTTCTGTCAAAGCGGTTGGGAACTTGTGACGGTAAAAGGAAGACAAAATCAAATTGAATTGGATAGCAAAAGTTGGCAACTGTGCTGGCCATCAAAAGCGGCAAAACAAATTACTATAAATAGAGATACATGTTAAGCTATTAGTATGTGTGTTGTATAAAAAAACAGAGAAAAAAGAGAGAGTGATGAAGCACTAAATTATAAGAAAAGTATTAGAGAGAGACGAAAGTCCAGAGCGTTTTTTGTACTCCAGCAAATTTTTTCAATACACTTCTAAGTTGTGTTTCATTTTCTGTGTTCATCTTCATATATTTTTTCTTTATTTTCTCTAAATTTCCAACAAATATAACAATATATAGAGCAGCAGATTAGATCATTTCAAGAGGCACCTAGAAATAATGTTGAATACCAATTTTTATGTTGACAATAGTAAAAAACAAAATGAACTTCTAAAGCAACACTCACACCTAAATTTGAAAAGATAAAGATTTCATCTTATCTGTTAGATTTATTCAATTCATTGGCGGAATCCAAACCTGAATGTAGGGGAAATATATGTCCTTTAGGTGGCACTGGAGTCTACTTATGTCAACATCTTTTACTTTTGGCTCGTAAATGTCAACCTGCAACAGTATCATATAATGTGTTCATGAATAAAATTGAAGAGATAATCATTTTGCCCCCTGTAAACATAACATTAGTAGTACGATGGGGAAAAGCCTTTTACAGATGCCTTGATATATAGAATTGGATATATAAGACAATAACTAGGGCTCAACCAAAAACATAAATACATTAAGAAAATGACAGTGAAGTTGGCAGTAGAAATAATGGTATAAAGCTCCAATTTCTTGTTCACTATAGAGACAAGCTCATTTTAGAGGAGTCTTGTCCAAATTCCATATATACCAACTGGTATAAAGCTCCCCCGATGAGATAAAGCCTCTAAAATGCAAATGGGGGTGTATCCACCCTTGAATTAAAGCAGGTTAAGTTCTCAAGACACTTTAATTTACATCAACAATAAAGGGACAACGACCAAATTGTCAGTGTTTACCTAAAATATTACCACAATGTCAGACCTCAGAAATTTTTTATCAAAGTGCCATGTTATCAGTCTCGCTATGCCACATGGCGAGTTAGGATTGGCCACGTGGCAGCACCTGATTGGCCACGTAACTATCTGCGCGGTGCAGCTAAATTACGTGGCAGACAACTCCTGCCATCGTTTGCCACGTGGTCTAAAGCGCTGGGCTACGTGGCAAAATCGCTGGACTGCGTAGCTGTTTACGTAGCAACCCTACGTGTCACACTGTAGTAAGTTCGTTGGGCTGAACAACTGGTTATGTGCATGTGTGACACGTGTCATTTAAATGAAATTAAATAACATTAATTTTAATTTATTAGTCTAGATTATTAGACCTAGGATAGATAACATTATTTTAAGTTATAGAAGTGTCTAAATTATGTTAAAATAATGTAGTTAAGGATTATTAATATAATTTAATCTGTGTGTTAATTAATTTAAATTAATATAGGAGTATTAATTTAATTTAACTCAGTTTATGTAAGTTAAATTATTGTAGACTATTATGACATTTAATATAAGTTATGAGTGTTAATCAATGTTATTAAACTCGGACCGATGATCGACCCGGTCGGGGTACCGTGTAAGTGGGTCACTAGTTCAACCGCATGAACCGGATATGTATATAAATTTATATTTTATACTTAATTATGTAATAAATATTTTAAATAGAGCAAGTGAACCAAGAACCAAATGTAGCTTAGTGGTAAATAGTACAATTTATATCTTCACAACAAGGGTACGATTCTCACTATATGCAATTTTTAAATAATTCTATTAAA